TTGCATGCCCCTGCTCCCCTGTAATGAGGGCTCGGGTCTTAAACACTTGTTTCAGTGGGTTTAAGCTCCCTAGAAGTGCCATGTAGAAGGACCTCCCTGTAAATAGTGATCAAGGTCCTTCGCCTCCAAACAAATGATTTGGGTATCCATTACATATCTGTAGCTCAAGGGCCACACTTAAATATGGGCTCAGGTCTCTGTCTGTTTCACACCTTTGGGACCTAGTCTTTTAAATGCCCTGTGTGATTGATCTCTCCATGCAACAAAGTTTCAGTCCGTCCGTCCCCCCCACTACTGAGATGGAGTAGCATCCCACTGAGCTGGAGAGGGAGGGACCACTCTCTGATCCCTGGTGGGCGGAGCCAGGCTGGCTCACTCCTCCTGCAGGAAGCTAAGTATAAAAGGCGGAGCCTGTAGCATAATTCAGCCTGAGCCAGGGAAGGGAACAGGTGTCCGCAGACTGCTCTTGAGCCTGAAGCTACACTGTGTCCTGCCTGAGGATGAGACTCACCCAGGAAAAGAGTTGCTGGGATTGCTGCTTGCTATATACCTTGAGAAGCTAGAGGCTGATCCTGAATTGCAGGTACCTTATATGGTAGTAGGAGAGTAGGAAGTAGTCCAGGGACAGCTGACTATAGTTGAGTTCTGTGACTACCTGAATGCTGGTCAGTGTGTTTTGGTTGGCTCCCTGCTGAGCCAGTGGTGGAACACTAGCATGGTTGGGGTCCTGGGCTGGGACCTGGTGGAGTAGGATGGGCTTGGGTCCCCCATGCCCTGCTGCCAACCCTGCCTTGGGGTAGCAGCCCTTAAGTTCAGAAGCCTGAGTTTCCCTGCTGGAGTCACTGTGGTAAATCTTGGACTGCTTGTTCATTTGCTCTACCCTGCTCAAGGGCCTGGGCTCCTTCAGACTGTTGGACTGCACTGTCCCACCTAAGGAGCTGGTCTCTAATTCCTGGTAAGGGGTGGTGTCCCAAGGGTGTAGTGAGGTGGTCAGGGACGGCTCTATGTATTTTGTCACCCCCCCAGCATGGTGTGTCCGTGACAGGTCTGCTGGTAATGTGGATTTGGCAGTGAGCCTGCAGGAGGTCTGCCAAAGCTGTGGGACTGGTGGACCTCCTGCAGGTATGCACGGAAGGCTGCCTGACTGCTGCCTATAATGATGCTGTTCTGGCGGGACCTAACTGAGAATGCCAATTCAGGAGAAACTGTTTTAAAGCAGGGCAGTTACAGCCCAAGGCTGGGGTTTTTCCACCTCTAAGGCAAACCAAACCAGCCAGCCAAAGAGGACTGTGGTCTCAACCTACTGGCTAACCACCAGTCACACAAGCAATTCCCTTAGACACTCCAGTTTCCCAGTATCACCACCCGTGCCACTTGTTATGTGGACAAATGGTTATGAAAACCAATACCTCAGTAAAAGGAAAAAAGGTTCTCTTGATCCCAAAAGGACCAAGCCCCAGACCCAGGTTAATATACAAATCAGATCTTGCCCACAAATCATGCTGTTGCCAATCCTTTAGAATAAGGAATAAAAGGAAAAAGTTATGGATGAAAGCTAGAATTGGTTAAATGGAATCAATTACATACAGTACTAGCAAAGTTCTTGGTTCAGGCTTGTAGCAGTGATGAAATAAACTGCAGGTTTAAAATCAGGTCTCTAGAGTACATCCCCAACTGGGATTGGTCCTCAGTCCTTTGTTCAGAGCTTCTGTTTGTAGCAAAGTCCCTTCAGAGGTAAGGAGCAGGACTGAAGACAAAATGGAGATGAGACATCAGCCTTTTATAATCTTTTCCAGGTGTAAGAACACCTTTGTCCTTACTGTGGAAAATTACAGCAAAATGGAATCTGGAATCACATGGGCCAGTCCCTGCCTACATTGCTGAGTTACAAGGCGTATTTGCCTTCTCTCAATGGGTCGATTGTATAGCTGATGATCCTTAGCTCTGCCTAGCCTGCTTGATGGCCCATTAACACCAACTTGTCTGGGATGTCTCCCAGAAGCATAGCATTCTTTGAAATACAGACCGTATAGAGCCAATATTCATAACTTCAACTACAAAATTGATACACACATATAGACAGCATAATCATAACCAGCTGACCATAACCTTGTCTTAGACACCTCATTTGACCCCCTTTATACAAGATTTGATGCCACTACAGGACTTTGGTTGCAACAATGTTCTATATGGTCCCAGTTCAAATCAATAATGTGACACTGCCCTCACAGCAACTGTCAGGCTGCCCCCCCCACGGCTTGCCGCCCCAGGCATGGGCTTGGCATGCTGGTGTCTGGAGCCACCCCTGGTTAATACGCGGCATGTGGTATATGAAACACGGTTGCATGCCAAACTGATTGATGGGGAGGGGAGATGGCTGTGCTTATGTAAATCTCATTTGTTTGAGAGGGGAAGGGCAAGCAAGCAAGGTTGGTGCAGGGGAGTGTACGCAAATCTAATCTGGGGGAAGTGTGGGGAGTGGATGAAAATGTGAGTGATGGTGGTTGGGGGTAAACACAAGCCTGATTACTGCATGGATGCATGCAGTCTCAGTTGTGGGGGAGGGGATAGGAGTAGCTAGGCACACACAAGCTTGATTGAGGGAAGTGGGGGGAGGGTGCACTTGAACCATCTATCAGGAGATATGTTGTCTGGCACATTTTACCCTGCAAGAATGAATTTAGTCTAGACTGGGCACATACAAAGGAGTCCTCTGCAGGGAAGGAGAGGACATACAAATCTGCTGGGAATGCATGTGTGCACACACACTTAAGTGGGGGATGATTGCTTATAAATATATTGTGGAGAAGGGCTGGACACATGGAATCGTGACTGATTTTAGGTTGGGGTGTGTGAATGCAGGCTAACCTAATTTTGTGGGGGGTATAGACAAGCTGGTTACAATGAGTTTAATTGGTGTGTTTTTTTTTTTGGCGGGGCATGCACACTTGATTGGTGGGGAGAGAACACCAAACTAGCCTCTTCTAACATCACCATCTTCTACACCAAACATCCACAACTAGTGGGCAAAAATAATCTAGTAAAGGGTAGAAGGGGGGGGGGGGGAGAAGGGATAGAGATGCATGTGGTCTCTTACAGTGGAAAGACTAATTATTATACAGTTAGTATTTTTTTCATATGGAAGCCCTGTGAAGGTGAGATTCATCAGTGTATTTAAGTGTGTTCCCGGCTTGAAGCATGAACTTCAGTGAGTTGGGTCTCATATGCTTAAGTACTTTCTGGAATTGGAGTTTTAAGGATGAACAATTACAGAGATGGGGTTGGGCTGGGGGTGGGTTTTTTCTTTTGCTTATATAGGTATTTAATACAAATAACTACTGTTGGAGGTTGCCATTTTGTATTAAATATTTTATTTATAAGTAATAAATACTGATGATGATGACATACAAGAATGAATAAATAGTAGACTTACATAAATATACTGTTACAAATCCAGTAAAATGACCTGCCAATATTGTCACAGCACACAAGGAGAATAAATAGTAGCAACAGCTGTTAAAATGCCACTTCATCTCATTTTTTATGCCATATTAAAGAGTCATTGATTTCAGTTAGTACTTCCAAAAAGCTGGTATTTTTATATCTAAATTTCCTTATGAGTTTGTTGCATATTTGAAAACTTCTTAATTCTACTTGGATTCTCTTGCCAGCACTGAGGCTGAAGTTAACTGCATAGCTATTATGAAATAATTGTTATTTCTTCACTTCCATCCTGGTGAGCTGTAGGTCCTGGATTGCCACTGGGCATTCTCCTTCAGGGACTCCATGGGCTTGAGACCCTGTTGGGGCCACCTGAAATCTCCTTCAGTAATGCTAATTCAACTACTCTGGGGAAAAGGTTTTTTGTACTGGACACTCCTTCTATGGAGTCTGTCAATGTGACTGATCTCCCAAATGCACAGGCTGTATTGCATGGTTTTTTTCAGGTATGCATCTATCCCCTGGAAGTACTTTTTCACACTACAAAGGAAAAAGGACACTAAAACTTGTTAGTCTCTAAGGTGCCACAAGTACTCCTATTCTCTTTTCACTCTAGTGAACTGGTGCTCCTCATTTTCTGGGTTGGTTAATTCTGTGCTCTCAAACATGCCTCCAGTCTCTGAATTTGCAGATAAAGTCCGTACTGTCACCTGACTAGGGAACTCCCATCCCAGGCAGTTGGCATGATCATTTTGCTAAAGATGGTGAAATTCTCTTGGGCATTCTTTTACTGAATGATTGTACAGTACCCATAATAATGAGAAGTAGTAATCAGCTTGCGCTAGACCTTCTACCTGTCACTGTAGTGCATGTTAACCTGTCAGTTACCACAGCAAACACTTTCCCTACAGTTTGCATGTTGCAGAACTTCAATATCTAGATCCGTGATAGTCAGACCTCGGTAGTTCAGGAGCCAAATTAGTGATCAACATTACCCAAAAGAGCTACAGTTGTGTGAATGCATTGATTCATTTAGTATTCATATTTAAACAGTATGACGGGGGAAATATTTATAATTTTTTTATATAATGTATATTGGAGCAAGTTGACAACTTAATTGGTTAATGACATAGTAAAAACATACTGAGTAATAACTTAGACTGGTTAATAATTAAATCACCCAGTGGTGTGTGTGTTGTTTTTTTTTTTTTTTTGTTCCAGTGTATGATATAGATGCATCAAAAAGCCACTTGTGGCTCACAAGCTGAAGTCTGAGTATTACTGATCTAGATGCAAGTCATGACATGTTCTGAGAAATACATATAATCAGAATAGTCCCCTCTGGTCCTTGAGATATTGTCTCCATTCGTTGGGTTCCCCCCCAGCATTTCTTCTCCATTGGGGCTTAATTAACCCACATGGTATTTCATAATAGAGTGAATGTATTGCATAACGCTTGATGTGTTATGCAATACATTCACTAGTGTTAGTCACTGTGGGAAGAATCTGCAGAGAGGAGGGATTCCACTGTCCTGTCTTAACCTCAGTAGTTGTAGCATCCAGAGCTGAAATGAAATAATTAAAACACAAAGGGTAAAAATATAATTGACTAGATCTCAATAAATCACAGATGTTTTCCACATGTAAGCTTGCAAGTCTCTTAGTATGTTCATATTTTTTTTAAGTCTCTAGGAAGCTTCTCATTCCTTGAAATACTAGGAATAGCTCTCATGAGGACAAATTAATTAATAGCAATGATAATCATAGAAACACTACATGTGTCGAAGTCCGAGTACTTTGTGGTGTGGTGAGGGAGGAAAGTATCATTATCTGATGACCAAAGGGCTGGTGAGGTGCCAAAGTATTCCACATATGTGTACTTTGTTGCTTGGTCTGCCAATTACCTACTGCACAACAGTACTGATATGTGGGAGATTATGAAGATCTGCAAAAATAAATAATAGTAGAAACACAGAAAAATAAGTCCATTTCCAGGACAGAGTCTAAAGCGGCTGCCATGGAAATCAGTTGCTATTTGGCCATTGAACCTGTGGAAGAAGGATCAGGCCCTATATAAACAGAATTATAAAATACTTGCTCTCTGTTCAGCTGTATAAATTGCACTAATGTCAATTCATTTACTCCAGGGAAAGTTTTGTACTGTACCTTAGTTACTAAGTCTTCTTGTGAGTTTGTCAATCAGTACAAACCATCTGGGTATTTCCATGAGAATGATCTCCCAGGCACACAGGCTGTATTGCTTTTCTATAGATAGAGATCAACACTTAGATCATCCAGAGTTCTGAGATGATGATGATAGAGAGCCCCTGACTAAGCCAGCCCTGATTACAGAATGGGCCTCATCTGAGAGAATTGGGTGATTCCAGGTTTAACTACTGAGTGGGCCCAGCTGACAAAGGGCTGGAAGAAAGAGCATGCAGGGAGTCAAAAGGTGTCTGCAGGGTCGTGAGTGAGCAGGGAAGTGTAGACAGTGCTAGATTGATGGAAAAAGTCTTCTGTTGACCTAGCTACCGCCTCTTGGGAAATGGATTAACTACAGCGAAAGGAGAACCCTTCCCATTACTGTAGTGAGAATGTACACTGAACATTCCTTTTGAATGTTCACTTTTGATTTATCAAATAGTAATTAATTCTTATCTGTGGGCCAGTAGGGAGATGACTGGCCCTTATATGAATTTGGGGGAGGAGAGCTGAGGGAGTTGGAGGACAGTGTTATGGACTACTAAAGCATAAGACTGGTGTGCTTCTGAAATGGGAGGTGAAAGACCATAGATAGAGCTAAGTGTTGCTTGGTTGATAGAGGGCTATATAAATACTCTGATAAGTGCTTTTGTTGGTATTGTATGTGTTTTGCTATTTGTTTTTTGGGACACTCGTAGGTGCAAGTAGCCGGTTACATCACTTAGTCCTTTGTGCATTTCTGGAAGGCACTCAGATACTACAGTGACTCAGTCACATAAGAACCTGCATAGACTTCTTAACATTTAAAAAATGTTGCATTTTTTATTTAAAAATTAATTTAGCACTAGTTTTGCATTGACAACTGTTTGTTACCATTTTAAAGTTTTCTGTAATGTGTGTCCAAAAGTAACCCCTTTCTGCATACATCCTAGCATGACTTGCATCTGAAGAAGTGAGGTTCTTACCCACAAAAGCTTATGCTCCAATACTTCTGTTAGTCTTAAAGGTGCCACAGGACCCTCTGTTGCTTTATCCTAGCAGTAGTTACACAGGTCCATTTATTTGGACCAGGAATACTGGTCAGCTATAAAGAAGCAAGTTAACTGAATATATTTGGCATCTCATTCAAACCTAGGGGGGCGAGGAAGAGTAAGCATATTTCTCCATTTTCATGTGCATCAAGGTAGGGGACTATATTCCAGACTGTCCCACTAGTGGAAGTCAGGCAGATGGTATGGATCATCTCAAAATAAGAATATATTGGCTTTTTATTAAATACAATCTAGAATATTTTTAAAATCTTATTTATTGAGAATCGGTTCAGGATCCATGTCCTTGACTAGAAAGTCATATCTTGTTTTTCATTCCCTTCATCCAATTCACAATTGGTATAAACAGATGTCAATGACAGGAGTCACACTTGCTTATCCAAGCAGCAGATTTTGCCTCCTGGTGGTATTATACAATAAAATACTGTTGCTAAAGTGATATTTTAAGCATCAGAATTCTCAACTCAACTGCCTAACTTTAGGCCAGGTGAGTACTACCCAGAGACATCTACACGGAACACATCACAGGACACTGCCAGTACCAGGCCGAGTAACCGAGAACGCTGACCAGGGAAATAACCCACTTCCTTCCCTGACGAACCAAGGAACGCACCCCACCCATGTACTTATTCTCTACACCAATACCTACTTGGAGTCTTAATACATTCCATGGGTGGCATACCTGAGTGCATACATCCACTGATGCTTTAAAAACTCCCACACCCCAATCTGAATCTATGCTGGTTATGTGATATGTATGAACCTTGAATGTAACCGATACTTGCAATCCCCCATAACCCAAGCCAACCCCAGCTGTGCAGTAAATTTGATTTTAAATGTTGTTAAAAATTAACTGGTATGCATAAATGTTTTTAAACATAAGGTATTTACCCATCTGCACCATCACTTTATTTATTTATTATTTCTTCACAACTTCAATGTAGCTTTGGCAGAACTGGGAGGAAAGTAACTAGCCACAAGATGTTTCTTTCAATACTACAGAGAGCGCACTAGATGGTGCCTTTTCCCAAGTTTCTCAGAATACATGTAGTGCAATTGATCTCTACTCTTTTTGTCACAGTAATTCCTGTGTGACTAATGTGTCAAACTTCACATTTTACTGATAAGTTGCAAAGAAAAATGTATTTGAAAATAATATCTGAGGCTATCATTTAGACATGTCTAAGGCAAAACAGCTCTACACTGAAAGACAGGACTATAAAGTGTCAAGAGAAAATCCCCTTTCATCTACATAGCTTTTTAAAATTATATATACAGTAGCATTCCAGAAGCTATTATAAGTGAAGACCAGAAGGGAATCTGTTCCTAATAAATAGCATGAAAGATTTAAAGTATATTTGGTTTTAATTCATGTTAGATATTTGGATTTGTTTTAATGAATGACTCTAATATCTTAGCAAGACATAATGGCTTTGCATTAGCCAGAAGAGACTCAGTTTATCACTTGCACATGATCCTTTGCTCCTTGAGTGACAGTGGCTAAGAGGGCTACAGAAATAGTGGGCTCAGCCTATCCAGGCATCCATCCCTCTGCTCAATTCTCAAGTGAAGTTCCTAGCTTCCAAACATTGGTTGACACCCTTTCTTTACACCTCATACAAATTTGAACAAGCTAATAGTTCCCCCATGCAGCCATTAGCAGCTGGGGGCTGTCGCTATAGCAAAAAGCTTAAGGTGGGAGAGCATAAAAATAGATAAAACGGTGGAGGTAACGTGGAAGATACAAGGATGCAAATGGATGGAATACAAGCCATATGAGCAAAGGCTAAAGGAACTGAGTATTCTTAATTCAGGAAAGAGGAGATTAAGGGGGGAATATAATAGGGAACTTCAAATACTTGAAAGGCTGCCATAAAAAAAGATGGAGGAAAGGTTGTTCTCTTTTGCCACAGATGGCATCACATGAGGCAATGGGTACAGCCTAGCAGGTTTAGATTTAGGAAGTTTTTTCCTGCTATTTAATCTAAGAGCAGTAGGAGAATGGAAACAGATTGCCTCCAGAAGTTGTGAAAGTGTTTGTTTGTGTGTGTGTTTTTCCCTCTTCTCCCCCCCCCCGCTTCCTCCACGGGAGGCTTTCAAAAGGAGACTGGATAGCCATCTGTCTTGGATGATTTAAACACAACACATCCTGCATCTTGGCAGAGGGTTAGACTAGATGACCACAAGGATTCTTTCTAACCCTACAATTCTAAGATTCAAAGATCATTCAGAGGAACGCAAACACACTCCTATAAAAATGTGACATTAATGCAAAATAATTATGCTAACATAGTGGGATGGACAGCTTTAAATGATACTCAGTGAACCTACAAGAGACAGAAGAGAAATGGCAAAAATATTGTTTAATAAACTCTGAATGCTCAAAGTACAAAATTAAACAGACCAGGTGGGTGAGGCAATATCTTTTATTGGACCAACTTCTCTTAGTAAGAGAGGAGCTCTGTGTAAACTCAAGCTTCTCTCACCAACAGAATTTGGTCCAATAAAAGATATTGCCTCATCCACATTGTCTCTCTAATATACTAGGACCAATACAGCTATACCACTACTGAATACACTATTAAATCTTGTATAAAAGACAAGATATTATGTAGACCTGTTGGGATGATGGTGTTTCTGGTTTAGTGAATAAAGTTCCATGGAAGACACTGAGAAAATGGACTTCATGTAGAAGAAATGAAAAGATAGGAGAATGTAGAAGGTTAGTGAGAGGATAAGTGTGTGTGTGTGTGTATATAATATATAATTTTTAATATTCCAGATTTCTAACACTGTAGCAAATATCTTTCAGTTTGGAAATATTCCCAAGAGATGGTTCCTCTTACTATAGCATTCCCTCCTGTATTTTGTTCTGAGTTTTGGATTGGTTTCATTTTTTAAAACTGGCATGTGGCAATATCAAACAATAAATTTCCTTCAGTATCCTTTCTGCGAGGGGGAACTTGTCCTGCTTATAGTAATTAGTGTTATAGTCTTCCACGCTTCTGGAGAGATTTGTTGCTTCATTTCCTTGTCCAATTTCCTAATAGCTAGGCGCATGGTGAGTTGTGACTGCTGTTATTGACTGGCTCAGAATTGCACAGACAGCTAATCTGTGCTAAAGTATCCTATTAGGATGGGTTAACAATTGCTGCCTGCTTATTTGTTTCACCCACCTGTAAAATCTTGCCATTTAAATAGTAAGCTGTTTGGGGCAGGGACTTTCATTTACTATGCCTGCTCAGTGCTGAGCAAAGTGGGACCTTAACCTGGTTGAGGGTACTACAATATAAATAAAGCCTAACCTCATAAAAATTGTCCTCTAGTCCTTGGTGCAAGATTCCTATTTATCATTGTTTCTATTGCAGTAGCACTTAAGAATCCAAATTTGGAGTCTGAATCTCATTGTACTAGACTCTGTATATACAAATAGCACAAAGACCGCATCTGCCTCATAGAGGTCACAATGTGTGTTAGGGAAGTATTCCAATACTTAGAAATTAATCAAAGAAATAGTTGTTTGGAATCCTTATGACTGTAGTGACACCTATCTTTATGGCTTCAGGAACAACTTTCAACTGTGGAAATGAGGTTGACATGAACTAAAAATAGTCAGTCAACTTTACACATATTAAGAAAGTTAACAACTAAACTATTGGATGAAAGATGAAACAAATGGGTTAAAAATTGATTGTCTAGAACAGTATGTGTACCTGATATTTCTCTGACTCTACTGTATTCTGACATACTGCTAATGTAAAAAATACTTCCATTATCAATAATTCTGTTTTCTGTTATAATTTATTTTAAAAATACCAATTAAAAACATAGGCCATATAACTAGAAATTGCTATAAAAGTGAGAACTAAGACTCCCAATTAACTTTTTATTGGTTGAATGGTCTGGCTTTGACTGAAGTTCAGCTAAAAAGACAAGCTACCAGCCTGGAATGCTAACTTCAAGAGTGAGACTTTGAGCCCAGAACCAGTGATCCTACATGTAGGATACAAGAAGCCCTTCTGTGCATGAGGAAAAACCAGGCCTACTCAATCATCAAAGTGGCTCTTTAGAGGTAGAACAGTCCCCTAAATTGGCAAAGATGGTTCAAAACTTGTCCTTACTACTGATCATACTGTAATACATGACATCTCAGAATTAAGACCCAGTTACTACCAAGTGGTAGAATCAACCAAGCAACATCGACATGTTCTGGGTTGCAAATAGCACTGTTCCATTTAGCAGGAAAATGGAATACTTGACTCAGACAGTGGAGAGAAGCCAAGAAGTGAATTCTCAGGAAGAATATCTATAGACAGGATATTTTAAAATGAAAAGGTGGGAGTTGAAAAACTTGTACTATAGATTATAAAACTTGTATCCATCCTGACAATGGATGCAACTGGTATTCTCCACAGAAGATCATTTTCTCTACTGAATGTGAGAGTCTATATAGACTTTGATCACTACCTGCTGATCCCAATCTATCGGGGATCGATTATCACATCTAGTGTAGATGTGATAAATCAATCCCCAATCGCTCTGCCATTGACTCCTATACTCCACCACGGCTGAAATTGTGTATCTTAGGTCGATCCCCCAGTGTAGACCAGGCCTAAGAAATCTGGGTCCAGGTTCTTGTACTAGGGAAATTCAGAGGCAGTAATAGTATATGGTACACACTTTTTCTCAGGGAACCCATGGAAAAAGACAACTCTGGACAAAATCTTCCATGGATTTTTTTTCAGTAATTCATGAACAGCTGGTGGAATTTTGCCAAGCTTGCCCAAAAGTCATTTAAAAATGCCTCCAAGTCACGAAACAAAACTTTGAGCTATAATAGCATTCATAAGTCCCATTGGAAAAGGTGACCTCAGATGTCAGAAAGTATTCTGAGCAACACTTTATTTCAGCATTTAAACTTTGAAGAGGAGGAGGGTTTAATTAAATTCTCCCAACTTTCTCCACTTGTCTTCACTGCCCACACACCCACTTGGAGGTTGAGGAATGCTAAATGTTCCTCCATACACAATGCTAAATGCTGATCCACATGACAGCCAGATAAGATTGCTTGAGAAATCTGCAATCTGTTCTCTCTGCCATGCGCCTGGTTCTGGCCTCCCAAGACAATAAGCTTGGGGCACAAAGTTGGGTCACCTGCATGAACATGTGTATTACTTTCCAACTCCACTGAAGTTTGACCCACTTGCACCAGGGCTGAATTTACTCCAGTATGTTTAAATATATAAATCTGTGAGCAATAACATTTGGCAAATTACATAATTTTACTATTTAAATTAAGTTTGTTCTGCAGGTGAGGGATGGATCTTGAATGTGCTTGTGGATATGAAATTTCCCTCACCATCTCAGCTACTAATTCATATGTTAAATCCTAGAAGGATCATTTGTTGGACCCAAAAAAAGAGCAGTTTTCTCCTTTCTGAAACATGTGCCTGGCTTTCATGAAACAGACACACCTTTTAGTCTCCCCTAACTAGGAAAATTACCTCTTGCATGATGTCAACAAGTTTCAGCACCTGTTAATTTGCATATGGATTAATTGCAAGCATGGATCAGGACAAGCTGTGTTTTGCACCTTCAAGAAACTCTAGTTAGGGCCAGCTTGAAGTGAGACCTGTTATCAGTAACAGCTAATTTTTCTAGTATAGACCCAGCCTTCTGAAATTGAAACAGAGACCAAAAATCAAGACCATAGCACAATATAGCATTGTACTATCCATATAAAATTAGTCCCAGATAAATGGGACAAAACCAAATAACATGACTCCCCAGCCTGATATTTTTGTCAGAGTAGGTGGGCCCTTGGTAGCCCCAAGGAAACAAACTTTCTCTAGAGAATTGTACATACTCCTCTTGCATGAGTGTGACTGTGCTGCTGCTGCAACTAGGCAACCTGTTGGAGAACGAAGAGCACTGCATCCACAAACAGCATTCCCTACAAGCATTGTCATTCATCTGGATTGCTGAATATATTCCATAATGCCTGGCATCCTGGAGCAGGTGCATAGGATCTGGGATTCACTATCTATTTTCACCTGTTCGCATTTTTGGTTAGTTCCATAGCTTGGGGGAGGGGGCAAACTTTTTTTTGCCTGAGGGCTACATCAGGTTTCCAAAATTGAATGGCAGGCCGGTTAGGGGAGGCTGTGCCTCGCCAAACAGCCAGGCATGGCCCGGCTCCTACCCCCTATTCAACCCCCCCCCCCCCGCTTCTCACCCCCTGACAGTCCCCTGGGACTCCTACCGCATTCAAACCCCCCT